GGTTCACTCCTCAAATGCCTGCAACAAACAAGGCTGAGACAGGCTAAAGCCAGCAGCTGAGATATCAATCCATGTCTTCCACATGGGTGACAGGAAACCAATTAGTTAAACCATTACTGCTGACTCACAGGGTCAACATTAGTAGGAAGTTTGAATCCACAGTGAAGCTAAAAATTATACATAGAAGAAACATTCCTCAGCACAATCAAGGCAATTTATGACAAACCCACAGCCAGCATCTTATTGAATGGGGAAAAGTTGGAAGAATTCCCACTTTGATCCAGAACCAGACAAGGATGCCCATTCTTACCATTTCTAATCAATAGAATCCTGGAAGTTTTAGCCAGAGCCATGAGGCAAGAAAATTGGAAAGGAGGAAGTCAAATTATCCCTATTTGCAGATGACATGACTCTATATATAAAGGAACCAAAGGACTCCACGAAGAGACTATTGGAACTCATAAAAGAGTGATAAAGTAGCAGGATATAAAATTAAAACACAAAAATCAATAGCCTTTGTATACACAGACAGTGCCATGGCTGAGAAGGAATTTCTAACATCATCCCATTCGCAGTAGCTATAAAAAATTAAATACCTTAGAATAATTTTAACCAAGGAAGTCAAAGTTCTCTATAATGAAAATTACAAAACATTAAAGAAATAAGACAGAAAAAAATGGAAAAAGCTTCCATATTTGTGAATTGGAAGAATTAATATTATCAAAAAATCCATACTAGCAAAAGCAATTTGCAGATTCAATGCAATCCTAATCAAAATACCAATGACATTCTTCTCAGGTCTAGAAAAAATCCATATGAAAACATAAGAGACCTCAAATAGCTAAAGCAATCTTATACAACAACAACAAAGCTGGAAGCATCTCATATCAGATTTTAAGACATGCTAAAGGGTAGTTATAATCAAAACAGCCTGCTACTGGCAAAAATATAGACATGTAGACCAATGGAACAGAACAGAAACGCTAGAAATCAATCCACACCTCTACAACCAACTTATCTTTGACAAAGGAGCTAAAATGAATCCCTGGAGCAAGGACAGTCTCTTCAACAAATGGTGCTGGGAAAACTGGATCTGTACATACAGAAGTATGAAACAAGACCCTACCTTATACCTTACACAAAACTCCACTCAATTTCAAGCATGGAAAGCCAATGACCTAAATGAAAGATCTCTGTGAGTGAGATCCCAGTGGAAAGGATGGGCCATCAAAGAAGGAGGTACCTTTCTCTGAAGGGAGGAGAGAACTTCCACTTTGACTATGACTTTGTCTAAATAAGATTGGAGTTGGCAAACTCAAGAGGCTTCCATAGCCTTGGCAACTCATGACGAGAGCCTCGGGTGATTCTGACCTCATAAATAAGAGTGTCAATTGTTAAATCAACAACAGGAGTCACTGTGCACTTACTCCCCATGTAGGATCTCTGTCCTTAATGTGTTGTACTATGTGAATTAACGCTATAACTAGTACTCAAACAATACTTTATATTTTGTGTTTCTGTGTGGGTGAAAACTGTTGATTTCTTTACTTAGTATATACTAAGTTGATCTTCTGTATAAAAAGATAATTGAAAATGAATCTTGATGAAGAATGGGATGGGAGAGGGAGCAGGAGATGGGATGGTTGCAGGTGGGAGGGTGGTTATGGGGGGGAAAAGCTGCTTTAATCCAAAAGTTGTTCTTTGGAAATTTATATTTATTAAATAAAAGTTAAAAAAAAACTCCACTCAAAATGGATCACAAACATAAATTTATGACCCAATACCATCAAAATACTGGAGAACATTGGGTAAGCTCTACAAGACATTGGCATAAGCCAAGACTTCTTGGAAAAGACCCCAGAAGCACAGGCAATCAAAGCCAAAATGGACAAATGGGATTACTTTTGCACTGCAAAAGACACTCAGAAAAGTGAAGAGGCAACTGGTAGAATGAGAAAAAATATTTGCAAACTATGAAACATAAAGGATTAATATTCAGAATATACAAAGAGCTCAAGAAACTCAACAACAAAAATAAACAATCCAGTTAAGAAATAGGCAAAAAGAATTGAATAGGCATTGTTCAAAAGAGGAAATTCAAATGGCCAACAGACACATGAGAAAAAGTTCAGGATTGTCGCTCCCCGTCTTCGTGGAGGAACGACACAGGACCCTGCGCTGTTCTTTTGTCTGCTCGGCCCTCCCAGGGTTTGCTGCTGGTTCTTCCCGGGTTGGCTACCGACACTTCCACCTCCGTGGAAGGGCGGTTCCCCCTGGCCACTTTCCCCACTTCCGCAGGGGAGCGGCACACCGCCGGCCGGCTCTCTCGGGGGCTGCACAGGTGTTCCTTCAGATAGATGTTCCCCTTAGATGTTCCTGGTGCATGTTGTCTCTCTCCTCCTTTATAGTCCTCCTCCGCCAATCCCAACTCTGCTACCCACACGCCGAGTACGCTGCTCTCCTCCAATCAGGAGTAGGTCCTACAGTTTATTGGTTGAACTGGAGGCAGCTGCGTAGAAGCTGTTTCTCCCTTCTCAGCGCCATATTGTGGGAGAGCAGATGCATAGAATAAGTCTTAATTCCAGTAACTTAGTCTAGTCCGAGTTGCTCCCAGTTGCTCCCCCCACAGGATCACTAGCCATCAGGGAAATGCAAATCAAGATCACAGTGAGGTTTCATCTCACCCCAATTAGAATGACTCTCATACAGAACTCTACAAACAATAAATACTGATGAGGATGTGGGGGGAAAAGGAACCCTAATCCACAGTTAGAAATGTAAACTGGTGCAGCCACTGTGGAAGACCATATGGAGATACCTCAGAAATCTGAAAATAGATCTACCATATGACCCAGCTATTCCACTCCTGGGAATTTACCTGAACAAAATGAAATCAGCAGATGAAAGAACTATCTGTACCCCATGTTCATTGCAGCTCAATTTGCAATAGCTAAGATATGGAATCAACCCAGATATCCATCAACTGATGACTGGATAAAGAGTTATGGTAAATACACTATGGAATACTACTCAGTGGTAAAATAAATAAATAAATAAAATCCTGTGTTTTACGATAAATTGAATGCAAATTGAAACCATTATACTTAGTGAAATAAATCAATCCCCAAAAGACAAGAAACCATATGTTTTCCTTGCTCTGTGATTAACTAATGGAGTACCTAAAATGTAATGTATTGGAATGAAAATGACATTTTGAGATTTAATGATCGTTTACAGCCCTTGTGTCTACTGTTGAGGAAAAGTGTTCTTTTTTTCTTCATACTGTTTGTTGAACTCTTTACTCAGGTAGGGTTAATTTTATGAGTTTAAAGTAAACTGAAAATAGATCTTCGTAAAAATTTAGAATTGGAATAGAAGAGAGAAGAGGAAGAAGGGTGGGAATGTGGGCAGGAAGTAGGGTAGAATGGGAAGTATCACTAAGTTCCTAAATATGTATATATGAAATACATGAAATTTTTATCCCTTAAATATTTTTAAAAATTAAAAAAAAATTAAAAAGCACTGGAGCTAAGACTCAGTCCCAGGTACTCCAGTATGGGATGTGGGCATCTTTACCGTTGGGCCAAATGTTCACCACCAAGTACCAGTTTTATCTTCTAAAAGATGTAAACTAAGATATTACCTGGTACTTCTTATTCTTTTTTTTAGAAACAGATTTTTTTATGCTCACTAAGCTGAATAAACTGCTGAACTTGTAAGTTGATGGGAGATTCCTTAAAATGATAGATAGGAGGGAGTCTCAGGTTAATTCAACAGCTGGATTTCTAGACTAATATGACCTGTAAAGAAAAATGAGCTATGGGATGCTAAAGAGAAAAAGGAGCACAGTTTAATTAAAACTGGCTCAGGACGAAAACCTTAATGAATTGCAGTCCCAAGACAGAGCAGAACTCGAGACCCAAAGTTCCTAAGGGAACTGTCAATAATAAAGATGCAATTATCTGAACTGATTGCTCACGAGACTCAACTTGTTTTCGATAACGCCACATGTTGTTTCCCAGGGCATAATGGTCTGGCAGAGAAATAACCTGGCAGAGCATGCTGAAAATAGCTGCTTTATAATTACATTGCTACCTTCTGTGAATCTGATAATGAGATAATATCTGTTCCACAGGAATTAATCATGCATTCAGAGAGTTCTATATTAAATGTCACACAAATGAAATTTCCGCTTGGTAGATGCAACCTCGTCACAAAAACCTCTGGGTAACTGCATTAAAAAATGAATTTTGGATAATAGAAACCAGATTTGCCATTCTTATTAGATCATAAAGGAAAATTTTAATCTACTGGAAGGGCACAGCCTCCTGCTGCCCATGCCTTCAGCATCCTGAGTGGATTTGAGGGGTGACTGGAGCTTGTGTGATTCTTTGGGGATTCTTGCAAGACTCCAGTTGTGTTGACAATGGTGTTTTTTTAAAAAGCCCTGATGTTCGATTCCTACTTCTGCTATAACAAATTACCACAAATTTTGTAAGATAGCAATATATGTTTATTTTATAATTATGGCAATCAGAAGTTTAAAGTGGGCCTATATAGCTGCATTCTTTCTGAACCTGCTATGAGAAAATCCATTTTCTTGGCTTTTCCAGTTTTTAGAACCTGCCTTTATACCTTGCTCATGATCCCTTCTTCCATCTTCAGAGCTGGCTGACAGTCTCTTCTTTCCTCTCTGAACTCTTCTTCCATCCCCACATCTTCTTTCCTTGTTCCTGACCCTTCAGCTTCCCTCTTATGAGAACCCTTGTGACTACACTGGGCTATTCAGATAATTCTCCCAACCAAAGCTCCTTAACTCAATCACATCAATAAAGCCCCTTTAACCATGTAGAGTAACATATTCCCAGGTTCTGAGGATTCAGACAGGTATATCTTTGGAAGGTCGTTTATTCAGCTATTACACCTCCCCCCTGAATGGTCAGAGTCATCCACAGACAAAAAGAGCATAATACACATGATATATATGAGATATAAATATTTGTGTGTGTGTGTGTGTGTGTGTGTGTGTGTCTTTGGAGAGAGAGAGAGAAAGAGAGAGAGAGAGAGAGAAAGTAAAGAAGAGAAAGAGGATAAAGAGAGAAATTGAGTGAGATGTATTATAGGATTTGTCTATGTGGTTATGGAAGCTGAGAAGTCCTAAGATCTATAGTTAGTAAGCCATGAACACTGGAGATATAGTTCCAATCTGAGTCCAAAAGTCTGAGGACCAGGAGAGTCAAGAGTATAAGTTTCAGTCTGAGAGCTGGCAGGATTGAGACGCGAGAGCTGATTTTTCACTTCAAGCCCCAAGGCAGGAAAGACCCATGCCTTAGCTAGTGCATTCAGGCGGAAGGAATTCCTTTTTCTATTCAAGTCTCCCATTGATTGGAGGAAGCCTACCCACAAGAAGGAAAGTAATCTGCTTCAATCAGTCTATGGATTCAAATGTTATGTTCTTCTAAAAACCCTCAAAGATACCCAGAATAATGTTTCACCAAATATCTGGGATCCCAGCTAAGTTGACACATAAAATCAACTAGCACAAATGCAAAAAGATTTGCATTTTAATCGGCTATTTTTAGGCAACAAGGTTCAAAGTATGATACTTGCCACTCCTGTGATGTTAAAATAGCTATCTCCAGTGGCCTGTGTTCAGCTATGAGTTCTAGGAAAGCTTACCGAATGGCTTCTATGAATTCAGAATGTTTGTGTCTCATTCAAGAGAGACTTGCAGCACAGGTAGCCAGTGACTTCTCATTTTCTCCTCTTTTCCTGTTCTGCCATCCTAGGGGTAGCTGATGCACATCAGGTATCCTCTGGTTTCCAGGCAGGAGCAAGGAAGATAGAAGGAGCAGCATTCTTTGAATTTGTGTACATCCTGTTCACCAGGATGAGAAAGGGCCATGTGTGGCTCCCAGGGAGGCAAAGCAGACACTTTGCACTTTCTGGCCTCTGCGGTGAAGGAAAGAAAACATGGAAGGGGTAAGTCAGCACCCCAAGTACCTTCTAGAGCAACCAAGAAGAATTCTTACCATTCAATCCTCTATCCCTCATCTCTTCAATTAATCAGAGATTGGATAAGACCAACCATCGTGTGCTTTTTAAAATGTATTCTTCTACTCACCCACAATTCCACCAGTGCTGGCTCCAATGGACAGCAATATTAGCCGCCATGTGTTTACATATCACCCAAATAGCAAAAACTTAATAAAATCATAGAAACAGACTCAAGTAATAGTTGTGGTTGTAATTTTTTCTAAGCCAATTGACTAATTTTTAAAAATTTTTAAGGAAGTAAATCAACCGGTTAGCTCATTGCTCTATAGGGAGCATGCTTTGGGGCACACACCACTTTCCCATCATAGTGGCTATCCACTCAGAGAAGCCATTTTGTTCAACTTGTCTATGGATCCTAATTTCAACTGATAGGTTGGGTCAAAAATTCAAGGCTGTCTTCTGGAACCACTCCCTGGCTAGAGTTGATCCATCTAAGAATAGACAGCTTATGAAAATAGAGCCATTCTTTTGCCTAGAAATTTTAAATTGCAACTAAGAGTGAGCATTTGGTATCTCTGAATGAATGAATTGACAGAATCAGGGACACCTAGGTCTCTGTGTTTCATGTGCTGTTTGGGAACAGGGGAAGTTAATCCTCAGAGGACGAGAATGATGAAGCAGAAGGGAAGAAAGGAGCAGAGTTCAAGCTTTGGTAATTCTAGATCATTCTTGGAACCCAGTTAAATTCCTGATCTTGGTTTGGCTACTGACCTTTATTTGTTATAATACTGAGCTTGGCTCAATGTAGTGTTCTGTTATTTACAACCATATATAATCTATAAAATGTCAGAATATTACCTTTGCATAAAAATTATGTCTATGAAAGGATTATTTCTGTTACAGCAGAAAAAAATTATCTTGATTCACCTAAAGGCATAATTATAATCTCTAGACTATATAATTAGCCAAATTGTAGTCTCACTTTTTTGCTAACTTTAATGTACCATATAGTTTAGCAAACTAAATAAAGTATTTGAAATATCAATGATAAAATTCAGAATATAAGTATAAAATCTGGATGAAATTTCAAGAATAAATTTGAAATATTTTACAGAAATGAAACAAGTGTTAATTTTAGATCTCTGGGATAAATGACATAAGACTTTGGTGTAACATGTGGAGACACTGTGGTGAAAAGATTTGGTTAGGAGTTACTGAGTTTGAAAATTAACAAAGCCCTACATATCTATTTCTTCCAGAAAAAGCACTCTTAATATTTGATTGACAATAATTGCATCAATACTACTTTTTTCTAAAAGATTTACTTTGTTTGAAAGGCAGAATTACAGAAAGAGAGATCTTCCATCCTCTGGTTCACTCCTCAGTGGCTGCATCAGCCAGGATCCAGGAGCTTCTTCTAGCTCTTCCATGTAGGTTCAGGGGCCCAAAGACTTGGGCCACCTTCTGCTGATTTCCTAGGTGTATTAGCAGGGAGTTGGGTAGGAAGTGGACTAGCCGGGACTCAGATGGGCACTCACGTGGGCAGCCGGGGCTCCAGGCAGTGGTTTAACACACTGCTCCACAGCACCGGCCCCACAGTCTTAATAACTAATTATTTTTTATTTTATTTTATTTTTTTGACAGGCAGAGTTAGAGAGAGAGAGAGAGACAGAGAGAAAGGTCTTCCCTTTCCGTTGGTAACTAATTTTAAGATGCTGAAACCTAGCAGTTGAGACACCAATTATATCTCATTTAAAATGCAGCTATGCTATAAGGCACTAAATCCTGGGTGTGCGATGGTGAGAGACTGTACTATATAACATTTTATTGCTAATTCATAAAGTTCTTTTCATAAAACTGCAAGCTGGACGATCTCAAACATTTCGTTAATGAGCCTGTTTCTACCTCCTCTGGGAATGCAGATGGGGTTTGCTTCTGGGCCTTCTGGAGGCGAATGAGGAAATGGGACTGATGAGGTTATAAATCCAGATGAAATCCTTGTGTGAAGAGATTCTCACTTGGGCCATCTGTTCAGACTGAGCTGGAGATGAAATATCAGGTGTCGCAGCACAGCCCCTGGAGGACTGGCACCAAATGATCTTCCTTTAACTGTGCCTGCAACTGATCACAAGCTGCTTTATTTCCTTTCCAGTGTGTTCATCACAATGTCATCTGCCTTCAGTTTCCCCTTGTTCTTTAAACACCTCACTGACATAGCTGACCAATCCTTTCTTTGCAATGTGCATCTCTGCGTGGACGTTCCTGACACACCTACAAATTTTGTCTTGTCTTTTCAGATGCCTGTTTTCCTTCCCCCTACCTGCTATGAATAAACCCTTTGGAAGCTTAGCTAAGGAAGCTTCATCTCCTCTTTCTGCCATGAGGAACACATTCACGTCGGTTTTCACTGACATCCGTAAGCAGGTTCCCAGCCCCTCATTTGAGTTTCATTCCTATTCCTCCACAAGCCAAGTGGACACACATTCCTCACATCTTTGGACCCCAATGCTTGTGTTTTCCTTTCTCTCTGAATGCTGTTAGTGGCTATAATCACAGACTCCCAGGTTTCAAATGGGAAATCATTTTTTTTATTTTCCCTTCTCTTTCCCTTCTCCTTTTACAAATTGTCAATTTCTGGTTCTTCTTCCTTTGCAATTTTGCTCCTTTTGTTCCTCCCTTTCTAGTTTTCACCTTACTCTTTGGGCCCTGGTTACCTTACATTTGGACACTACAGCATTGTTCGGGGGATGCTCTTCTGCTCCATGACCCTGTCCACCGCTACTACGGAGGCTGAGCCTGCAGCCCTAGCTTGGTTGCCATGGTGCTCTGAGGTATGACTCAGCCGCTGAAGATGCTCTCTGAGGCTTTCGGAGTCCAGAAAATCAATCCCAGGAGCTTTTTACCCTGACAAAACTGCATGCTTAAGTTACTATAACATTTCAGAGACCAAATTTAGTGGGAGAGTACCCAACAGGCCTTACTGGCCCTGCTGGCATCACTCAAGTCAAAGAATCTCCAGCCTGCTAGTAACTTGGCCATAAATAAGAGCATATATATATATATATATATATCAATCAAAGGTGTTCCTAATGAAATTAAGATACAAATTACTTGATATTGTTCAGAGATGTTCCATTACTTTTAGCAGCTTTCCTGCCTCCTTATGTTCTCTAACACTTACCACAGAGCTTTGATTATTTATAAAATGAGTAGCTGAGAACAAGGAAATGCCTACATCTCCTTGTGTTTTCAGTCTTTGTACTCTCTGCATATAAGTATAACCCATCAGATGATGCTTTATCCACCATCAAATAAAATGGGTACAGACACGTATTTTGGATAGAAATGGTTAAATTTGGAATATATGCTAAGGTTATTACTGTGGAACAAAGTTTCAAATTCAAGCAGAGCTAATCAACTTCTGGTATTACCTTTGTTTACAGACTTAATCCTGTAGCTTTCTGTCTGATAAACCTGCTTCTGTTTCTTCTGATTCATACTGTGATTTGGGAAAAAGAGATTAAGCCTAGTTATTAGCTTATACTTTTAATTAGGGAAGAGAATGGTTATTAAGAATATACTAATTGTTTACGTACACTTATATGTGTGATGTTAATAGGAGCTCCATTAATTCAGAAACTTTACTTTTCCTTACATGCAGACAATTCTGTTCAGATGAATCCAACTAATTATTTTAATATTCTTGAAAAGTATACTGATTAGAAATGTAAAACTTAAAGTGTTATTTTTAAAAATTATGTTGTCTATTTTAAAATATCCTTTTTTATATTTGGGTGTTTGCAAATCTGGATGTATCTTACAATCAGTATCAGATGAAATCTGGCAGCCACCAGGGAGACGATAAGTTCATAACAAGTTGCTAATAACTCAGCTTTTGCGAATTTAGCTCATGGTCATCCAATTGTCACCAATTAAGAACTCAGCATTAGCAACACACTGTGGTGAATTTTTAATTAAAATCATATCTTTGTCACTTAAATTTTTCCTAAAATTAATATTATGAAGCAGCCTTGAAATAAAAATTATTTTATATCCAGATTACCTGTTACCCTAGGTAACAGAGCAAAAGCAAGTGCAAAGTACTAAATTCAGAAAAATAGGTTGAGAATCCCCAAGATAGCAGAGGTTATTCTAGCCAATGTCAGCAACATGAAAGTCTAGCACCATAGCATCAAGCATCTAACTGTTGAAAGGTCCCAGCTGGCTTATAAAACAAGCTATTCAACTCTCAGTGGTACATCATTTAATTACCAGAAGCAAAGCTACAAATTTAGCTAAATATAAATTTCAAATGAATTCCTGGTGCTCTTTATGATGTCTCAAGATCATGATCAAGCCTGTGAATAGCAGTGTGTCGATTTTGATGGTGTACGTGACGACCAAGAGGCAACAGTGATTTAGAAAAATCTTTATATCCAAAATGTGAAGAAGGCTTAGACCAGTCTTGCTGTGTTGGTGGAATGTGTGCATCTGAGTTGACCGTGATGCTTGTCTAGTATTGATCGCATCCTGGGGTCTGCTGCTCACCCCCAAAATCACAGTAGGGAAAGGTAGCATTAGGAACATGCATTCAAATTCTCAAGATGGTTGTGATGTGCCTTACCATTCAAAGACCATCCTACACTTACAGTTGGTAGGTAATCCCCAAAAATATAGTGTAAATGTATTTGCCATCTGTGGCTTATTAAGGTAAAAAGCATATTTGTGAATATTTAATATTATGTTTCTAAGTGAACAAATAAAACCTTTGTGGTGAATTCTACAAAGAAATTTTAAAACTAAAACAACTATGATAAAAAAAAAGATGTGCTTATTTATTTGAAAGGCAGAGTCGCTGAGGGAGAGACGGTGAGAAATAGATATCTTTCATTTACTCCCCAAATGGCTGCAACAGCTGAGGTGTCACAGGTGGCAGCTCTACTTGCTGCACCATAACGCTGAATTCAGCTTTGATATTTGAACAATAGTGATCTTACAAGTCCTAAGCAAAAAGGAAGCATTTGAGTGGCTGTCCAAATGATCTTGAACAGAACTGTGAGAGCACTGCCCATACACACACACACACACACACTGAGCCCTCACGCCAGTCAACAACAGCAGGAAGCCAAAACTGCAGCCTATTGCTTGGAACCGGAAAAATTTAGTTCACTTGTTCAAGGAAGTGGTCAAAGTCACCTAAGAATATTTAAATTTTATTTCTAAAATTTTTTAAAAAAATGCCCTATAGTGAGAACAGATCTAAATCACCTGGCCAGGTGCCTATCAGAGTAAGTATGGATAAAGTGCTCTGAACCTAAACGAACTTACTCCACAGGAGACCTTGTTTGTTGTTACACTTGAGTGGGAGAGGTGAGACACTATCAGCCAGAGATGCTGCTAAACATCTTTCAGTTCACAAAGCAGCTCCAACCACCAAGAGTTACCTGGCCCCGAATGTCAACAGCTCTGAGGTTTAAAAACTGCTCCAGAGAATAACTTTGTAAATTCCAGTGTTTTATTTAATTCTTAATTTAGAGAAGAAAACCAAAAATAAAACCCCTAATTTCCTTCAACAATAAATAAAGCTATCAATTTAAAAAAATACCTCACAGAAGACCCAAAGTCCTGACAATTATGCCTAAAACATTGTTTCTTCATCAACTGAAAGAAATTCTCAGATTGGCCAGTGATGTTTAAAAATGACCAACATGGGGCTGGCGCCATGCACACTGGGTTAATCCTCCGCCTGCAGCATCCCATATGGGCAAAAGGATATTGAGAGGTTAATCTTGGAAGCAGTGGTAGAGTGAGTGGGGGATCCAGTGGTCCTGCAGCAGCAGCCATGACAGCAGAGCCAAGTAAGCGTCAAGTAACAGCAGTGCCCTGCCCTGTGCCCCTAAGCAGATATTTCTTTCAGGCCCCTGGCTTGTTCTTGGCTCTCTGGGCCCCTAATTTCCTGGTTGTTTTTAAACCTTGATTTTCCAGCAATTTTCATCATGTCCATAAAACCTTCATATCCTTATAATAATTTATTTTCATTTTAAATTGGCTGGGGTCAGTTTTAGAGATTTGCAAGCAAGAAACCTGACCCTGATTAGTTCATGATTGGAAGGGCAAGATAGGAGAGCTCTCTAGAGTTATTTAAATAGACAATGGGGAATACAATTTTGTAGAAAAGAATGTTGTCTTGGTTGGTGTATGCTGTTATAACAGAACACCATAAACAGGGTAATCAATAATGGACAGAAATTTATTTGGCTCACGGTTCTGGAGACTAGGAAGTCCAAGATTAAGGGGCCACACCTGGTGAGGGACTTCTTGTGGTGTTATAACATGGCATGCAAGATGTCATAGGCATAGGAGAGGAAACCAAGCACCCTTTATGAAGACCCCATTCCTACAATAACAGTGTTAATCCATTCGTAATGTAGCCACCTCATGAAACTATAGCATTGGAATTAAGTTTCCAATACCTAGACTTCACGGGACACATTCAAGTCGTAGCACTAGGTCACCTCCCCAATTTCAAAGACTTGCAGCTCTGACCATGAGATGTGTTTAAACTAGACAAGCATGATTCTGTGGGTAGGGAAGCAGAGACAAGAAAGAAGTTAAACCCTATAGTAGTAGCATAGATTATACTTCTCACTGGCATTTAGTGGATTTACATTTCTTAAGGTAAATTATTTAAACTTTGGCTTGTAAAATTTTAGATTACAGACCCCTAGTGCATTCTTCCTTACATTCTCATACCTCTTCCTTCTTGTCATCCTTGTCTCAGCTTGAAGGTACTTGACTGAAAGAAGCCTCCTCTGGGCTCCCCCACACTTTTTTTTTCCTGGAATTTACCATCTTCATCTTGCTTCAAACTGAATCCCCAGTGCCTAGAACAGCCATGACATGAACTGATTTTTTTTTTGCATGAATACATCAGTGATTGAAGTTCAAACTCCTTAACCTTTTATATACTCTCTATATTTTCGAAATAAGTGAAACTCATATTTTTACATTCCTGATATATGGGGATTAGGGTGGGGTGGTAAGAGTTTATTTATTAATTTGAATAAGAATTCTAAATAGTCTTAGTTTTAAAAATTAAAGGGGTAAGCAATCTTTTTTTTTTTTTTTTTTGACAGGCAGAGTTAGACAGTGAGAGAGAGAGAGAGAGACAGAGAGAAAAGTCTTCCTTCTGTTGGTTCACCCCCCAAATGGCCACTACGGCCAGCACGCTGCGCCAATCTGAAGCCAGGAGCCAGGTGCTTCCTCCTGGTCTCCCATGCAGATACAGGGCCCAAGCACTTGGGCCATCCTCCATTGCCTTCCCGGGCCACAGCAGAGAGCTGAACTGGAAGAGGAGCAACTGGGACAGAATCTGACGCCCTGACCAGGACTAGAACCTGGGGTGCCAGCGCTGCAGGCAGAGGATTAGCCTAGTGAGCCACGGCGCTGGCCAGGGGTAAGCAATCTTACTACCTATAATTGCATTCTCTTCTATTAATATCAATACACTATTGAAAACTGTTGAAGTATACAGAAATCCCAGCATATAGAGCAGGAATTTCAACTTTATTTAACAAAATATCTTAATGTAAGCAACACAGAGGTTGTTTACTGAGTACATAGTAAGTTACTTGATAAAGAATTAGTTGTGAACTAGGGAAGCACAATCTTTGCCTTTAAGGAACCTACAATTTTGGACCGGATTCAGGTAAGAGAAGTCTTCAAAACCCACAGGATGGCTGACATAACAGATCATTCTGGAGTATCATAGGAACATATAGGAATGGTACTTACCACGGACTGGGATGGAAAGTGGGTGATCGGTGGTAAAGCCTAAGCTGAGAATGGGTTAACTGGGAAACGGGGGAAGGGAACATGTACACAAGGGAATCAGCAGGTGTCAAAAGGGGTTTCATGAAGGGCTCAAGCCAGAGGTGCACATGCTGACCACATCATGCAGGACTGAGAAGGGTTCACGGCTCCTGGGCCATGGCTCTCAGATATGACCCATTCCTCTAGCTGATTCCTTGTATCACTGTTCCAATACATATGTGTCTAAATCCTTTCAATCCTACACAGCCTAACCATCCCTTCTTCTGGGAAATCTTTCCTGGTCTCCCACATGGAAGAGATTTCTCTGTTTACTGTTTATTGCTTTACTTACCAGCTGTCCCAGTTGACCTGACCATTCAAGTTGTGCAGTGCACAACTTACCCATAAATGGCTCTTTTAGCTATACATTCAATGATACTTCAAAGAGGTCATAGAAATTGGAATTAAAAGATGCTTTTAGGGGCAGGCATTGTGGCACAGTGGGTTAAGCCACCACTGTGATGCCAGTATTCCACATCAGAGTGCCAGTTAATGTCCTGACTGATCCACTTCCAAACCAGCTCCCTGCTAATTCCTGGGAAAGCAGCAGAAGATGGCCCACGCATGTGGACCTCTGCTGCCCATGTAGGAGACCCAGATGGAATTCCAGGCTCCTAGCCTGGCCCAGCCCTGGCTGTTCAGCCATTTGGGGAGTGAAGCAGCAGATGGAAGATCTCCTTCTCTCACTGTCTCTCTTTCTCTCTGTCACTCTGCCTTTCAAATAAATAAAATAATCTTTAGAAAAAGATACATATTATTTTGATGAAAAAATTTTGAAATCCAGGCGTAGTTTTTCATAATGTTCATTTCCTTATACCTTTTGAAAGCCTTTACTATTAGTATTAGTCATGTTGAGAGTTTCTATATCACAGAAATGTCCCCATTATTTCCTCTTTTTTCTTTCCTTTCTTTTCTTAAGAGCATAACAGTCATTTCAACGGTACATCTGTTGACCAGAAGGCCAACCTGTCTTTAATTCTTAACTGCCTTCCTGACAACAATGTTGAAAAACTCCCACATCTCACTGCCATCTGGTGCCATTAACCTCTGAAATCTTTTTAGACAATCTGTTTTAAAGGGTGTGTGTGTGTGTGTGTGTGCATGCTGAAAGAAATATGACATATTCAGGGGCATTTTTTTCCTTAAAGTTACTTTTAGAAATTAGAACATTTTAATTCATATCCCACAACC